AATAAAAAAAAAGTGTTGCCAATCACAAAACACATTTAAAAAATCGATTCTCTTTTTCGATCGATTATTTACGCTGTAGTAATTCGCTTGTTTAATTGTCATTATGATAATTAAACAAGCGAATTACTAGCTGATTTCCAATGAATTCTTTAGAGAGTAACAAAACGCTCCGGCACAATTTAACTGTTAATCTTAACCGATCTTCTTTGAAAACAGATAAGAACTGTTATTCTTATCTGTTTTCAAATAGGATCGGTTAAGTTATTCTTATCTGTTTATAACAATACATTTAAAATAGAATCATGTTATGATAACGAAACAAGTTAGTTTCAAGCTGATTTACCATGAATCCTTTAACATTTTGAGCGCCAAAGTCGCCTATACTTGACCAACACCTGCGGGCCCTGAGCGCCAACGACGTCTATAGTTGACAAAAAACCCGGCTCTCAAAAATATGAAATATAGATATTGGAAAATTATTACAGGTATTTTAATTCTACAATCCTCAAAATAGGAATAACCCAGCAACATGCAAGTATAAAAAACAAGACTTCTAGAGCCACAAGTACTAAGAAACATTGAAGTAATAAAAATGCATTTTTATCTAAGCAAATACTATGTCTAGTACGCCAAAGTCGTCTATGGTTGACCGCTAGTGTCAAAAGCGGGAGGCATAGATTTCTTGAAAACTATACAAAATTCAGCTCAATGGTGTTTTTTTTCTATTATTATTGATATTTGAATAAAATTAAAGGTTAGAAACATAAAACTATAATTAGCTACATGAATAAAAAAATGTTACCAGATCATCTTCACATAATAAATCTAATATCTCAACTCTAGCACATCTTTAGCGCGTCATCGAAAATCAGTTCACTGGGCACCGTGATCAAGAATAGACGACACCCTGATGACGTCATAAGTGATTACCGAGAAAAGTAGAGCAATGCAACATGAACGATTCCTCAGAACTCATTCAGATTTTGGAAAGCGTCGATGATGATGAATTTTGATTTTTGATTGATGAATTGAATTTTTTGATTGGTGAACAATTATGTTTATTTATTCCATGACCAAGATTTTAATATTATAAGGCTGATTTACCTAGTGCGAATAATTATATACAATTGTTGATTAATGAATAATTATGTACCTTTTTTAAATAATAATACAAAATTACAATTAATGTTTTTTTTTACTTAAGGTGTGAAGAGCAATTTTTCAGTTTGTGTTGTGCCGTTTTCTTTCTCAGTCTCAAAATCATTTAGCAGCATCAGCATCATATCAAATCCCCATTGTCATAAGAGTGTAAGACTTTTCTTCCGTGCTTCACTTGGCCTACGCCTTCCCCGACACATAAAATATTATGAATCGATGTCTATATATTTCGGTTAGATCGATTTTGAAATCGATACACAACATTCGAAGAATGTTTCAAAAAGGAAGGTCAGCTACGCCGTTGTCGTCCAATCGTGACAGTGTCGTCATTAGGATGGAGAGTAGTGCTCTGGTTTACTACTATTTTATTGTTATTGTTTGTTTTTTTTTATGTTTATATGTACAAAGTACATATATAAAAAAGAGTGGAAGACAGCATAAGATTAAATAAAACATACAGTTTATAAAGAGTTATTTATAGCATAAAAAACCAACAAAAACAAGTTATTTTACGTTATCGATATACTAAACTCTTGGCAACACTATTTTGTTTTGGCGCTTTGGCGTACAGGACACGGTAATGGTTTTTTGGCGTGGCGCTCAAAAGGTTAAAGCTTAACAAAACGCTACTGCACAATTTAACTGTTCTTAAAAATACATTTAAATAATTAAAGGAAAATATATTTTAAAAAGTGTGCAGAACTTAAAGCGCCTCAAAGATTGTTTTTTTAACGATATTATAAATCGAATAAAAATCGATATCTTTTCATCGATTTTATATCGGTTAAGTGGCAACATCGAGTCTGACAGCTAGGCCCTGTCATTAGAATGAAATCACAATTCAGTTCACAACTATATCTATACCTATATAAATAGTCACATGTAGAATTCATTTGCGTGTTATTTTGTTTGTTTTTATTTTTGTGAATTTGTTATCGAAGTAACGAACAAGCCTTATAAATGGACTCTGACATTTTTTCCCACCCTACTGACCACGGCCTGAACATGGACCCCGCACCCGCTTCCTTCAATAACCTCTGCACGAACTTGGACTCGATATCCACTGTTAACAATGATCCCAGCTTCAACGCCGGCCAGACTTCTTCCCAGCCCTCGGTAACTCATTCAAGAGGACATTTTCGCTCTGTAAATTGTTTAAATATAGCGAAAACACGAAGGCATTTGTTGGAAATTCCAGAACTGCGAAATCTTATACAAGAATAGGTTCGACCACAGCAGGTAAATAGTTACAATCATAATTGTGTCATGTCTTCCTTTTCTTCATTCTACAATTGCAGCAATGCTTATTAACTGAGTTGTCTTATAATTATATCAATTGATATAATAATTATGGCTTTTTTATTAGTTACAAGTTTCGAGTGATAGTGTAGTATGCCACGCATGTTAGACTGCAGCCTGGAATCAAATACGACATCCAACTAGCGAACAGGAAAATTCACCAATTATTAGTCATGGACATGCATGTATCAGCTGTGGCAAGTCACTTTTTAGAATAAGATCACACACATTGTTTGGGTCTGATTCTCCACGTGAGGAACTCATAAGGAATGAAATTGGGCTACGATGGCTATCCGAGTACAGAACCAGAGTTCGAAACCTATTCAACTGCAGAGGAGTGTAAGACAAGGTGACGTTATATCCCCGATACTCTTCACCGCTGCGTTGGAAGACGTTTTCAAGCTACTGGACTGGAAAGGATACGGTATTAACATCAATGGCGAGTACATCACTCACCTTCGATTTGCCGACGAAATAGTCCCTAAGGCAGAATCGCTGGAGGTCTCAAGCATTATGCTCAATGACCTCATGATAATAAGAATAAGAATAGTGCCTCCCAACGGATAGGTCTTAAGATGAACATGGACTAAACAAAGATCATTTTTAATGTCCATGTCACACCTATGCCGGTAGTTGTTGGAAGCACTACGCCTGATGATAAACCTGGGACAAATAGTCCGACTAGGTAAGACCAACTTCGACCGAGAGGTCAATCGACGGATTCAACTCGGCTGGGCAGCGTTCGGGAAATTACGACACATCTTCTCGTCAGGTATACCTCAAAACCTGAAAACTAAGTTGTACAACCAGTTCGTGTTGCCAGTGATAACCTACGGAACCGAGACGTGGTCTTTTCACTGCTGGCCGTATAAGGACGTTCTAAGTCGCTCAGCAAGCTATGGAGAGGGCTATGCACGGGGTTTCTCTGCGTGATAAACTTAGAAATGAGGATATCCGCAGTAGAACCAGAGTGACCGATATAGACTGACGGATTAGTAAGCTGAAGTGGCATTGGGCCGGCCATATAGCTCGAAGAACCGAGAACCGTTGGAGAAAAAGGTTCTCGAGTGGCAGCCTCGTACCGGTGGGCGTAATGTAGGGTGACCCTCCACTAGATGGAGTGACGACCTGGTAAGAATAAAATGGGCTGCTTAAAATGGCCTCAATGGTATTACATTGAAAAAAGATACCAATATAATATTTTAAATAGCCTAAAAATTTTGTGAAAACTGAATCAAGAAATCTGAAAAAAAAGGAGTTGTTATATTTAAAATAATTGTAGCATGGAAGTGCCAAGTCGACAAAAACTCGACTCGAGTTAAATCGTGTGGAAATTTACGCAACTTAAATTAAACTAGAGTTAAATAGCTCGAATTGGCTAAACTTAATAATAATAATAATAAGGAGAAGGAGCTCCACGGGAGGTTCTACAAGGCTCTACATGAGCCTTTCGTAGACACAGTAGCCTCCCTCCACTGGCTACGCTTTGGTGATCTCTTCGGGGAAACCGAGGGTTTTGTCTGTGCAATACAGGATCAGGTTATTAAGACCAATAACTATCGGAGATACATCCTAAAAGGATGGCACCGTCGACATCTGTCGAGCTTGTCGCCATCCCGGTGAGTCACTTAGGCATGTTATCTCCGGTTGTTCGGCGCTTTCTAACTCTGAGTACTTGCACAGGCACAACCTAGTAGCCAGAATTCTACACCAGGAGCTCGCTCTGAAATACGGTCTCGTGGATCGGAAATTGCCGTATTACAAGTACTTGCCGGAAGCCGTGCTCGAAAATGATCGCGCCAGGCTCTATTGGGACCGGGCCATCATCACAGATAGGACTATTCTTGCGAATAAGCCTGATATTGTGCTGATGGACCGGGCACAGTCAAGGATATTTTTGGTCGACATTACCATTCCGTATGACGAGAACCTCGTGAAAGCCGAAACAGACAAGCAAACAAAATATCTGGACCTGGCTCACGAGGTGACCGACATGTGGGGTGGTCTGCCGACCGAAATTATTCCTGTAGTCGTCTCTGCAAACGGGCTAATCCCAGTCAGCCTCTCGGGTCATCTGAGGCGGCTGGGACTACGTGGCGAACCGCTCCAGGTTCAAATGCAGAAGGCGGTGCTCCTCGATACCGCCCGCATCGTCCGCCGGTTTCTTTTCCTTTCCCCCTAACCCTCGGCCGTTTGGTCTCCCCTCGCCGAAGGCCCTCCATCTGGTTAGGCTTTTATTTATTTATGTACTTTTATATTTATTTTATGTTATTGATATTTATGTATATTTATCTTTTCATTTTCATTTATAATTATATATTTATAGCACCCAACCAGATGAGAAAACTATATAGATACCCCATAATAATAACCCCACCAGAAGGCTTGGTGTCGGCTGGGTCTTCTCGGACTCAGCAAGCGGCACCCGCCGCTGGTGGAGCACGTCGCATGCGTTGGTCTAAATCAATGAATGAAAACGCACTGCGGGCGTATTTTAGGGCAAAAAGGGGGAAGAAACTGGATATTTGGCGTATCGGGCTGGGATGCATCGCTTTTTTGCAGAGCTGGAGCCATCTCTATCCGTCACTGAGCAAAACCTGGCAGACCGAGTTAGGTACATCCTGCGCTCCAACATATTTGGTGACGCCGAACTCGAGCGACTACGACGTGAGGTTATTCCTTCATCGAATGGAAATGCTACGGCTGGGAATGCGGCGCCACTAGATGCGCAACAAACTGCATATGTGGATGCTGCCGTCAACATTCCATTTGTGGCTAATTTAGACGATGATGGAATAGTCTCCCACGAACTAGAGAAAATGAGGAGCATATTGGAAGAGTCGATGCTGGAAACGCGCAGCATGCCTCTCGAAAATCGACCGCGACTTCCCCCGCATACCCCTTAGCAAGCGAAATCGGGCTGTCGTGCGGGCTCTTAACCCAATGCTGGTGACCTATTTGGAAGCCAGCCGGGACCTTTGCGAGACGGATTCAATTCTTTTTGGCGCCGCACTAGCAGTATGCCGTATTATTGGCGCCAAACTTCCCGTGGCTGGACGTGCTACTCAAAAAAGTAGCGCCATCCTAGCCTGGAGAAAAAGAATTGAGGACCGTATCGCAGAGGCAAGGGCCCTTATCGGCAGACTGACAAGCTTCAGGTCGGGTAATAATAGACCGAGGATTATGCGCACCGTTAGTATGGCGTTTGCTGGGACAAATATCAATTTGTTCCAGCCGGATATCACGCAAAAACTAACGGAGCGCATAGATGACCTGAAGCAAAAAAATCGCTGCTTAGGGGAAGCGGATTCGACGATTTAGCGAGAGGTCAAGGCGGTTCAACCAGAATCGTCTCTTCCAGAGTAATCAGAAGAGGCTCTATAAATCATTGGAGCGACCAAAGGTATGTGGAGCGGGCCCAGGACCGGATCAGGCTGACACTGTCGCATTTTGGCGTGGCCTGTGGTCAGAGCCCGTAAACCACAGCGAGGGCCCTTGGATGGAAGTTGTGGCGAGCCAGAGTGCAAGTGTTACGCCTATGGACCCCGTCACTATAACGCCTGAAGACGTGGCTGAGGCGGTCCGTAGGGCCCCGAACTGGAAAAGTCCGGGGCTCGACGGGCTGCATCATTACTGGCTGAAGGGGTTCGTAGTGTGTCACGCTGTGCTCGCCCGACAGTTTCAAGAGGCTCTCGATCAGAAGTCGCTCCCGAGCCTCTTCACTACTGGGATCACTCATTTGGTTCCTAAAGATCAGGATACCACAGACCCGAGCAAATACCGCCCCATCACGTGTCTACCCACCATATATAAGACACTGACATCCATTTTGAGCGCGAGAATCACTCGTCACCTGGAGCTAAATCAGGTGATGTCACGCGCTCAAAATGGATGCCGGGGCGGTGGTCGTGGAACCAAGGAACCACTCCTCATTGACGCGGTCATTGGCAAAGTGGTGAAACGCAACCGTCGGAATTTCTCCGCCGCCTGGATAGACTACAGAAAGGCATTCGACTCGGTGCCCCATACATGGCTAAAGAGAGTCCTCCAGCTGTACAAAATTGACTGTACAGTTGGAGACTTCCTCGAGCAGTGTATGGGGCAATGGAGTACGATCCTTTGCTATCTGGGCGAGCGGATGATGGC